GAGAGGCACCCTACAAGGTTGGAGAGAGAAAGTTAAGATTAAAAGGTTATACACTTAGAAAGTGTGGTTGACCTCAGAGAGAGGAGCACGCCCTGAAAGGTTGAAAAGAGAGTTTAAAGTTAAAGGGTTATGCACTTAGTGCGGGTGACCTCAGAGAAAGAAGTGCCCCAAAACTTTGGGGGTTCCCCTTTTAAGGATTCTTTAGGAATGTGACTAAGGGCTGGGGGTGCAGACTTGCTAAGTGGGCTTTGAATACTTAGAATGAACTTAACACAAGGAAGTTCCCGCTCTGATTTCTCCCTGGGACACTGGCTTCTTGGTCTGGGAGCAGATCAAACAGGCTGCTTGTCCAGCCCCCAAGGGGGGCTGAGCAATTGTCTGTTTGCTAAAAAGTTAAGAATCTTACATTTTTAACTTTCTGGGTATTAAAATATAACCTTTAAGATGGAATCTTTCCTGCCTTTCACTATGTTGTTTATGGTTGTGCCTGCATGCTAAATTAGTTGCCTAGGTTACAAACTACTTAATTTGGGCCAGAAGGAGTAAAAAAAAAGCATAGAGGTAAAGGTAAAGAAAGTAAGCTGGGCCTGCATGATTAACACAATAAAGACTTGGAAAATGCTGACGTACCTTCCTTTATCTGGGAAATATTCAAACATTCCAGGCCAAGTTGCTCTTGGCTTTTAGAGCTTTAATTGATTCATTGGGTCTTTTTTAGTGGACTTTTTGGCCTTTTTTCCCTTTCCACCCCCCTTCATATCTATTTTCCAGCCTAACAATAAGTATTTGCAGGTAACTACCATACAAAATGCTAAGCCCTGGGGATTCAGAGATGGTAAAACAATTTCCACCTTACACTCTGGTGGATGCAGATATAACAACAAATGCCTATGATAAGGCATTTCTGGCGTCTGATAAAAGTCCACCTGGGCCTGTGGGGCTGTGAGCTGCTGGGGCCTTGGAGGCACTTGGAAAGGCTCACCAAGGAGGTGAGCTGAGACAGATGCAGGAAGGCGTGAGCACACGCCACCCTGGAGGCCTCTTCAAGGCTCTGTGAGTTCATTGCTTGGTTTACTTTATTGGGTGGTGGGCCAAGACTCAGGAAGCCCCAAGAACCTTATGAGACAGTGTAAATGATTATGGGAATGGAGCAGGTAGCACCCCCATTCCAGGGATGGGGAGGTCGAGGGCCTCCAAGTGCCCACCCAGCTCACGGGCCCCCAGCAGTCATGTCTTCTCGAGGACGCCCCCAGAATGCTGCATTGAGATGAGTCAGTGCTCACGGAGACCAGAAGAGGTGTGAAGGAGGGTACGGTCTAGACAACTTACTCTCACATACCTGTGGAAAAATGAGAAAGCCTGTAGTAGAGCCCCAAGAGGATGTAACCCTAGCAGCTATGAAACACTAAATGAAACTGTGATGCTCTAACAATTAAGACAGTCCCCAAATATGCATGGGACATGACCACCTTGATGATTTCTAGTCAGAGGCAAGTCATTCTGAAAGGAGGATGTAGACAGATGGGGGAAAATTAAACCGGTCCCCATCTCACACTTCATGCCAGGATGACTTCCAGACGATTCAGACTTCACAAAAATGGAACTGTTAGGTACAAAGAAAACACATACTTTTTGATATTATCAGAATACAGAGAAAACCCTTTCTAAGTGGGACACATCCCAGAAAGCACTTACAGAAAGTAACAAATTCTACCACACAGAAATCAAGCATCCTGGGAACAATCCATCACCTAAATCCAGGGAAACACAAAATGGGACATTTATAGCTCTAATTTTCTTAACGTGGAAGAAGTTTCTAAAAGGCCAAACAACGGGGAATGATGTGAACAGAGAGCTCACGATGGCTCCCAAGTGATGGCAACAGGCTGCTCACCTCCTCCTGAGGGCCACATGGGCAGAAACCAGAGCCACGTCACAGTGCGCCTCTCACCTGGCAGAGCCAGGAGGCCAGCAGCAGCAGAGGCCTGAGAGGCAGGCAGCCCCGGAGGTCCAGTGGGGCCTGAGGGGGACTGGTGCAAGCAGCCCCTGCCGTGGGCACGTCATAGCTGCCAGGGCACTGCCCTGGTGCCCACCCATGGGGGGCCCTTAGGACATCCCAGTGGATCCACAAAGCCACATTACACAGCCACTGATGAGGTGGAGGGGCCTCTGGGGATGGGGTCTGCTTGTGATGTGCAGTGAAAGACTGATGGAGCCCAAAACCAGTCACTGTGAGGGCAACTTACAGAAGGGGATGGGTTGTGACCCTGGCCCCGGGCCTCGGGGAGGGGTGGGAGTGGCGGGAGTGAGGTGCCCCTTGGCACCTTGTGTGGTGTCAGGGCCCACACCCAGGTTTAGGGCCATGCATGGAACCAAGCCCCACTACTGGAATGTCTGTGCCCCCAGTTTCTGCCACTGCCTGGCACCACTGTGCTTCATATCCATGGCCAGTTAGAGGCACCTGCACATGAACCTGACTCTGCCACACTCACACGGCCCCACGTGACCCAGGTGTCCATTTCTAGTCGAGAGGTGCAGCTCACAAAGTGAGGGATGGGTCAGATGGGTGAGTGTGACCACTTCCTCCACCCCTTGGGGACAGAAGGCAGTGGCTTAGCCTCCCAGGGCTGCCTGGTATGCAGCTGTGCAGGCTGAGGTCAGAGACTGGGCGTGCGTGCAAGAGGGACTCACTGCTCACTGACAGGCTCTCTAGCCTGTCGCACATTCAGAACACCTGGCTACGTGATGGACCACCGGCCTGCAGCTGGGGCTGGGGCACAGGCTCACCTGTACAGCCCCTGCCGCTGGCCCTCTGTCTCTGGCCACAGCCCCCTAAGAATGCTCCCTGCTGAGCAGTCCCCTTGGGTGTGCTCCAGGACCTTGCATCCCACCAGCCAACACATTCCTTCTCCAAAAAGAGGGGAAAAAAGCCACTCCTCCTCCTACCTTGCTCAGAATTGTGAGGCCTAGTGTTCCTCTGCCTGGAGGTAGCTGCTGGAGGCGCACTGTGTAACTGTTCCCCCAAACTGGAAGCCTTCCTGGTCAGCTGGGGGAGTTCTCCAAGCTGACCCCCAGCAGAAGGTATGGGAGAGTAATGTGGAACACACAGGTGAGTTATTCCCTTTGGCACCAGCCTGTCCTGCTACAGACCTTCTCTGCTTCCTGCAGTGGACCCGAGAGGAGCAGAGGGCAGGAGCAGAGGGGTGTCTGGCTGGCAGTAACATAATCCCAACATCGAGGGCCCATGGGGCTCAAGCGCCCATCACTCACCCAGGATATGCGCTTCTCACACAAGGGGATGAACAGCGTGGAGACTGTCCTCAGCATCAGGCCAGGGGGCCACGCAAAAAGACCTGCCTGCAGGGCCAGATGGCCTGGTGTGGAACTCACCTCATTGTTTGGTCTCAGCAAAACCTGAGGAGTCCCCAGGAAGCCCCTGGGCCTGGAGCAAGTATCCCCAGTACCCATAACCCTCCTCACTCCTGGCACTGAGATGCTCCCTGCTCCACCTCGCCCAGCCACCCTGTTGCCAGCACCCAGGGATGGCAGTACGAGGGAGCAAGCACAGGGCCCGAGACTGCCCACTTCTCCCCAGGGGCTGTAGCCCCAGTGATGCAATTCCTTCCCAAACTTCCCAGTGAGCAGGGAAGCCACAGGCAGGAGGACCCGGACAATGGCTTGAAGCCAGAATGCTGGATCTATTTCCCTTTAACACCTTCTGGGCTGCCCCTGGGGCCACAGCAGGCCTGGCCCTGCAACGTGACACGCCCATAGACTAAAGATGGGGGTGCAGGGCCCAGGACACGGCTCATGCCCTGTGGCCCCTGCAGCCAGCACCCCACAGCAGGCAGCGACCAGAAGGGTGGAGATGGAGACAGGGCAGAATCTGGCAAGCTGCCCAGAGGCCTTGCACATACCTGCCAACCCAACCTGTGTCCATGGGGAGGCTAGATGCTTGGAGGCCTACGGTGAGGGGTGTCCTGGAGCCAACAGCACACCCTGCCCCTTGACCACTGTGGACGGTGTCCCCCTCACACGACCCAAGTCCCTGACCCAGAAGGGCCTGGCCAGGCCTGAACCAGGGCCTGGGAGGGCAGGTGCACCACAAACAAGCCCGCAATCAGGATGCACACAGAGGGGACTGAGCTGCCTGTGGCCGGCTCTGGATGTGGGCCCAAGGCAGAGCAGTATGTGGGCTCCTGGGGCCTGTGGACACCCCACAAGGCCATACCGGTGACCTGAGGAAGCTATGGGAGGAGCAACAGACCACCCAGTGAGAGGGCAGTAGGGGCAGGAGGGCTGGACACACACACACACTCAGCCAGGACACCAGCCCTGAGCAGCCATCTGGCACCTCTGGGGCAGGCCTCTGCTCCATGTCAGGCTTGGACCCCACAAGCAGGGCCTTTCATTACCAGCAACAACTGCCTCCAGGGCCCCTAAAACTCAGGAAACAGGATCCCACCCAGAAAAAAACTCCAAGGTGGTGGAGCCCCTCCCTGCCCTCAGGGGTTTTTGGGGTTCCCCAGTTAGGCCTCTCTCCAAGTGGGGAGTGACCACCCTTCCTCTTAACCACCCACTACTGATTAATGTCAATAAAGTATTTTTTGTGTTAAGATGCCAAATGCCTTATAGTCAACCCCAGAGGCACAGGGCGGGGTGCCCAGGCCTCCCAAGCACCCTCCCATCAGCTGCCTGTGCCAGGCCACATGTACCACAGCCCCCGTCATCGGCCAAATTCCAGGGTCAAGACCATCAATTAATTTGCTGCAATAATTTACTGTGCAAAGCATCCCCGAGGTCTGCCATTCACCAACACCCCCACCCCCGCCGAGCTCAGCAGCCCTTCCTTCCCTCTCCTCCCTCCACCGATGCCTCCTCCCGCATCAGGCCTCTGCATCCAGTGTGGGCACCACGGATCCACAGCAGGAGTGCATGAAGCGTGGTCAGGAGAGCAGGCACTTGCAGCCCGGGCTGCCCTCGTCCGGTGGGCTTAGTTTGCACGCCTTGTGCTGCCGGATCTCACGCACCAGGGTGTAGAAGGCATCCTCCACGCCCTGGAAGGGGGAAGGCTCAGGAATCTTCCCGGTCCCTCCCACTATCTGCAAACTGCCAGGTGCTCACAGGACAACCCTATGACCACCCCAGGACTACAGGGCAGCCGCTGGTCTGGCTCCAAGCTTGACCACCTGTACCCAGCTCCTGTATGAGCCACCACCCTTGTCCACCACAGCCCACTAAGGGGTCAGGGCCAAAGGGACCAGAGGACGTTCTGGAGGCAGAGGGTCCGATGCCCTAGGGTACCCGCTCCAGCCTGGCTCAGGGCAGCTTTCTCCTGGGACCTCCACCTTCCCTAACAGCTGTCAGCACAGACCCCGGCTCTGGCCTCCCTCGCTGCCCTGCCATCCAGGGAGACTTAGAGCGCAAGGGGCTGCTGGGTCACAGGGGTCCTGGAGGGTCCCACAGGTTCCCGGACCTGGAGCCAGAGCCAGAGCAGCAGCCCTGTGTCAAGGGAGAGGGGCAATGGGCACTGCTCACTGGCCAGGTGGGGCGGGGCGGGTCCCTGGCTAGCTGTTGGGTGGGGAGCCTGCTCACCTGGCGTGTCTTGGCCGATGTCTCTATGTAGGGGATGCTGTGGCTTCGGGCAAGGTCCTGTGCCTGCTGAGACTCCACAGTGCGTGCAGCCAGGTCACACTTGTTCCCTACTAGGATGACGTACACATCATCTGAGTCCTTCAGCCGCTTGATCTGCTCTCTGTGAGGACAGTGTGCTGGTTAGTAGGCTGCAGGCACAGCTGCACCCAGGACATACATAAGACAAGGTCTTTGAGTGCCTGGGGTCAGCTCACCTGCATTTGTGGATGTCCTCGAAAGATTTGGTGTTGGTGATGGTGAATATGCAGATGAAGCCCTCCACAGTGCACAAGAATTGGTCCTGCATGAACCTGTACTCCTCCTGGGTAATCGTTTCCAGGATTTCCAGCAGGCATGGCTCTCCGTCAATGACCACTTGCTCTCCGTCAATGACCACTTGCTTCTGGTAGGATTTCTGTGTGATGACACTGCTCAAGGGCCCTACACCTCCTGGCATGGGGCACTCACATCCCAACTATTCCCTTATTCCATCTCCCATGCCCCACCGTGATGGTGACCTGCTCGTGTGGAGCAGCAGAAGATAAGCCCAGGTCATGATTCAGGGCTGGGGACAGACAGGAGCAGCCCCACCCACCTCGATGGTGGGGCAATACTCTTCCACGAAGTGGTTCCTGATGATCTGGATGGTCAGGGCACTCTTCCCCATACCCGCAGCACCCACCATCACGAGCTTATATTCCATCATCCTCAAGGTGCTACAGTATGAAGCAATCTTGGGGTCTCCTGTCCCACCTGCAAGGAAGCAGCACTCATCCATGCCCAGTCCCCAGAGCTCCTGGTTACTGCCTGGCTGCTTCGCCGTGACATCGAGGTAATGGGGGTTCAGCAAGCATGGTGGCACAGCTGCTTCCAGCCAGGGTTACAAGAGGGGTCTCTCCTCCAGCTGCATATAATGTCTGAAAGAGTCAGGGAGCAGGCCTCCTTCAAAGACAAGGATGACAGCTTAAAGCAGCTTGCAAATCACACACACAAATTAGATGTTGCTGGGTAGGCACAAATCCTGAACTGGAGGCCCTGCCAGCTGAGGCTGCCAGTTCCCCTCCTGACAAGAACAGGTCTGGCCACAGTGGAGCACACATTGGAGTGTCCAGGTAGTCCAGTACCAGCCAACAACCAGCTCTTGGTGCCATCAGCCATGTTGGTGCATGAAACAAGCATTTACTGAGCACCAACTGCATGCCACCCAATACTCCAGGTACAGGATGACAAGCAGGCAGAGAACGACCCCCCTAACCTGGTGGACTGGCCTGTGCTCCTACACAAGTTATAGAACCCCTGGTGCCCTGTTGACCTAAGAACTTTGTACAAAATAGGGCACATGGGGAGGTTAGGTGGGCGAAAAAGTTCCAGTTAAGCAGACAGACTAGCAGGAAAAGACCATAAGGAGGTATGGGCCCACGGGAACAGGTAAGAAAGAAAAAGGGCCTGGGAAAGGGAAGCCCTCCTACACTGTTGGTGGGAATGTAAATTAGTTCAACCATTGTGGAAACCATTAGGGAGGTTCCTCAAAAAAATCAAAATATAAATAGCATTTGAGTTAGGAATTCCACAACTAGGAATTTACCCTAAGAATGCAGGATCCCAGTTTGAAAAACACATGTGTACCACTATGTTTATCACAGCACTGTTCACAATAGCCAAGAAATGGGAGCAACCTAAGTGTACATCAGGAGATGAATGGATAAAGATGTGGTACATATACACAATGAAATGTTATTCAGCCCTGAGAAGAAACAAATCCTAACATTTGCAACAACGTGGATGGAGCTAGAGGGTATTATGCTCAGTGAAATGAGCCAGGAGAAAGACAAGTATCAAAAGATTTAACTCATCTTTGGAGTCTAAGAACAAAGAAAAAACTGAATGAACAAAACAGCTCACAGAACCCAAGAATGGACTAACAGCTACCAAAGGGAAAGGGCCTGGGGAATATGGGTGGGAAGGGAGGGAAAAAGGGGCATTATGATTAGCATGTGTAATGTCGGGGGGGGCATAGGGAAGGATGTACAACAAAGAGAAGACAAGTAGTGATTCGACAGCATCTTACTATGCTGATGGACAGTGACTCCAATGGGGTATGTGGGGGTAACTTGATGATAGGGGAGTTTAGTAAACATAATGTTCCTCTTGGAGTTGTAGATTAATGAGATCAAAAAAAAAAAAGAAACAAAGACGTTAGAAAAAAAAGGCCTGGGGCACCAGCTGGAGTGTTTGCGATTTGTAATGTTTTATGAGAGAGTGCGTATGAAGGGGCAGCATGCAATTACTTCCTAAACACAGACTCCCTTGGTGTGGGTGACTTCAGTGGGAACCTTGGGACCCCGGCGGGTGAGCAAGCCTTCCAGAGCAATGGCCACAGTGGCACCCACATGTGGCCTGAAGGCACTTATTGGCCCCAAGGAACAAGAGCCTGGGATGCTGAGACTGAGCAGCAAGTCTGGGTGAGGCAGAATGGTGCACCACTGGCACGCTCAGGCCCCACTGCTTGCGTCCCCCGACCCTGCGCAGAGCCCCGCCCACTGCTCGAGGTTCACCTGCGCCCCTGTGAGCTGGAACGCGTGCCGGCAAGGACAGCAGGTTTTCCATCCAACCGCATGACCCGGGCTCACTGAACCCACACCAGCCGCCCTGCTGCACTCTCCACTTGCTGCAATGACTGGTCATGTGGGTGGGGCCGAAGCTGGGTTGGAAGCGGGGGCCATGGCAAGGGAGCATGGCTCGCATGGCGAATCCACTTCGTCTGTGGCAGGTGTGGCTTTGGACGCAGCTCCTGATGCGGGAGGCAGATACTTCGCCAAGCCCGCGCAAACTTGTACCCGTCCATCAGCTAGTCACACCCTGCCATTGGGCGCACATGAGGGAGGGTTAGGCATCCCACCTCAGCCCACTCCGGTTTGCTGAGAGTACTGCCTGTCAGGGTCCAGGCTGGGCGGGGCTTCCTGGAGCATCGTGGAGGGTGTGTCGGCGTGGTTGATTTTCCTGGACTGCATCCGAGGGGTCTGGTTTCTGCTGGACATGGCCAGGCCCAGGGGAGAAAGTGCTATGGGTTCCCAAGTCCAAAGGCAACAGGTACTCCCTGATGTGCCCAGACTCTCCATGAAAAAGGCTAGATTCATGGTGAGATGGAGACCCTTCGCAACAGGGGAACGGGGGCCGGCTGTGTACTGGGTGGGGTCACAAGGGTCCCATCTAAGTGTTAGGCAGGAAAATAAATCTGAGCTGTGTGGAAATAGAGCAAGGCCCCCAGAAAGGACTCAGTTTACCAGTTAATACTAGAAAGCCAGAGAAGACTCAGAGTTAATCAGCTAGTGCTCAGAATTTCAGATCCCACCTTAAATCCAAAATTGCATTTAGAAAAAAACCAAGTATGTTTAAGAAGAAAGGTTCTTAACATTCTTTCCTGCAAACAAATAACTGCACAACTTTGAAGAAGGGCAGACTGTCTTGATAAGCTAATTTTGCAAAATACCTAGAGGACTAATAAGAAAAAACATCAGAGCGATGATACTTGAGAGCACTTAACAAGCGCAAACTCTAATACCTTTGTCACATTCCTGAAAAAACCATAAAAGTGGGAATCACCAGCCTTTCAGGGCATTACTCTGCCAGAGGTTGCCTGCAATTAGGATGAAAGTAATTATTCCCATCCTTCTCAGGACGTTCCGATATCTGAGTTCACCCGGCACCACCCCTAGCCTTAGCCCTAGCCTAAACCATAACACTAACCATTGCCCTAATCCTAACCATAATAGTAATCCTAAACCTAAATCTAACCCTAAGACTAATACTACGCATAAACTTAACCCTACCCCTTTGCCTAATCAAAAATCTAACCCTAACCCCAGCCATAGGCCAAGTCCTAACCTTAACCCTAAACCTAATCTTAAACCTAAACCTACTGCTACCATTACACCCACCTTTACCCATAAAAATAACCTTAACCCTAATTGTAAACCAAGCCCCAGTCCTAGACCTAAGCTTAAACCTAAGCTGAAAAAGAACCCCGACCCTAACCTTAGACCTAGACATAACACTAATCATAGCCCTATATATAGCCTTAACCCTATCCCTAAATCTAGCCCTAACCCAAAACCAAACCCTAGACATAGCTGTAGCCTTAATCCTAACCCTAATCCTACCACTAAACCTAAATCAAGTCCTTTACCTAACTGTGAAGGAAACCTTAAGCCTAACCCTGAACCAAACCAAAGTCCAAATCCTAACCCTAGGCATAGACATAGATCTTACTCTAACTCTAACCATAACCCTAAACCTAACTCTAATCCTAAATCTAAACTGAAACCTAATCCTCAAACTAAACCTAATCCTAATCAAACACGCATACCCCTACACCTAACGCTAACCTAATCCTAAACGTAACCCTCAGCCACACTGTCACCCTTACCCTAACTCCAAACATAACACAAACCCTAACTTTAATCCTAAACCTAACCCTAACCCTAATCCTGCACCTACCCCTAATACTAACCCTGAAGCTAATCAAAATCCTAATCCTCAACCACACCATCACCCTCAACCTAATCTTAAACCTAACCCAAACCCTAACCCAAACATCAACCCTGAATCCTAATCCTTACTCTAACCCTAGACCTAGTCATAGCCCTAATCTTAACCCGAATGCTACCGTTACCCTAACATTAACCTTAGTCAGAGCCCTTACATGAAACCTATTACTGACACTAACCCTAACTCTAGTCCTAGCCCTAATCTTAACCCTAGCCATAGCCATAGCCTTAACCCAAACTCTAACTCTAAACATAATCCTAAACCCAGCTGTAAGCCAACGCATAACCCTAACACTACTACTAACCCTAGCCCTAACCCTACCCTTGGCCCTAGTCATAACTCTAAACTTAACCCAAGCTCTAAATCTCACTCTAATCCTAGTCCTAGCACTAACCCTAACCCTAACCCTAGCCATAGTTTAGCCCAAACCCTAATCCTAATATTAACACTAACCCTAACCGTAACTCCTGGCCAAGGCCAAGGCTTAATGCTAACCCTAATCTTAAGCCTAGACCTAGCCCTAAACCTAACCCAAGACCTAGCTGTGGTCCTAATCTTAAATGTAACCCTAATACTAACCCTAACACTAAACCTAAACCTAACCCTAGACTTAGCCCTAACACAAGCCCTAGACATAGCCGTAACACTAATACTAACACCAGCTCCAGTACCCTGCCCACCAAGATGTCCCTCCAGGAGATCCATCAGCAGTGCCAGCCCCCTCCTAAATTCCCTGACCCTAAATGCCCCCTAGTGTCTCCCAAAGTGCCCTCAAGACTCTTCCTGCTGTAGTGGCAGGTCTGGAGGCTGCTGTGGCCCCACATCTGGAGGCTTCTCTGGCCTCAGCTCAGGGGGCTGCTGTGGCCCCAGATCTGTGGGTTCCAGCTGCTTCCTGAGCCACCACAGGCTCCACAGAGCCCACGGCCATTGAAGGCACCACAAACCTGCTGACTGCTGCAGCCAGTCCTCGGGGGCCTCCAGCTACTGTGGAGAGGATGTGGGTCAGTCCTCTGGAGGCTGCTTCTGAGGTGGACCTGACCTCCTCTTCCTCTGAGCCCCCTGAATGCAGACAGGTCTAGGCAAAAACTTGAGCTGCAGCCAGATCTCTCTACCTTGGAGTCTAAAAGCCCATATCATCTCCCTAAATACCAGTTATTA